TTCTTCACGCTGTACCTCACATCCGCCAGGCCACCACAATGGTGGGGTAATGTCGACGTATTTCAAACGATGGACTGGAAGGGAACGGCAATCAGGACGCAAGTGGCACCTGGCGAGATTATTGGCCCCAGTCGCTGGCCTTGAGAGTTTGACGAGGATGTGAAAATTTGAGAAGCGTATTAATGATGTTCAGTTGGACAAGGATATAGGAGTTTGGTGGCTTCCTGAACGTATGTATCACGGTCTCACGGCCCTTGGGGAGGAGTATTTGGGTATTGCTATCATTTCACGGCTCTGATACGAGGATTGTCTGTACGGCTGATGATACCTCGGTGCGAATTCACTTGCCCGTCTTTTTATAAGTGTGAATCAACGATAGTATTTACGTTGCAACTCAATTCCAGTTGCGTATGGTGTTGTGAAGAGTGCCGCTTTATGCCAAGTAACAATACCTTACTTGCTCACGGTATCTTTTTTAGTGTTATTTTGAGTGTACAACGCGGCTTCCCAATGGGAATTGATAGCAGCGACAAGCGTGCAAGCTGCCTCGATTGGAGGCTCGCCTTCCTCAACTCGGCACTCGACGCTATTGGGGCAGGTTCTCGGTGCATTTGACTTTCTACGAAGGAGCATCCCATTGAGAAGCTCACTTACCTCTAATTCTCTTACCTGGGCACATTAGTCGCAAAGACCTCACCTACTTCGAGCTTTGAGCTTCCACATCCATCGTACACCCTTCTCGACATCCGACAATCCGCCTGGCTTGAAGCAACGAAACATCACATCGCTACGAGTACATGTACCTGCTAGAATACCCCCAAAAGTTCGCTGATGAATACAATGGCCGGACCCAGCCCTGCCTCTTGGAACGAACCACCAATCGCTCCACTCCTTTCCCCCTACCGCGAAGATAAGAGCAAGAGACTACATAGCCGCGAAGGCAGCCGCAGCAGCGGCAAAAGCCAGTCCTTCTTGGCGTCCTTGGAGAGGCTGAATTCTCAATCTAACTGGAGCATGGGATCGATGAAAAAGAAGCAGGCCATGCTCGTGTCGCGGATGACGCCGTCTCGGGGGACACGGAGGTCGAGGGCATCGACCGAGTCCCGGGGGCCCTTTTCGTCCAAAGAGGACTTCGATGTCGACGACATTGACGATGTAGACGACCTGGAGCTGCCGCCGAATATCCTGGCGGATAATTGGGGTTCTTCGGCACCTTCTTTTGGTTCGGAGCAGCGTCCAAGGCGTCGTGGCAGCAAGAAGCCGAAGAAGAGGGTGGCGAAGAAGGAGCAGAAGAAGAGAGGGTTTCGGGCCAGGCTTCGACGACTCCTCGGTCGGGATAAGAAGAAGAGCAAGGGTGGTCACGAGTCGCCATACAGCCACAGGGAGACAAGACAAAACACGCAGAGCGAGGACTCGGGACTGTCTGATCAGCAAGATGCCACGGCAGAGCGGAATCCTCAACCAAGGAAGGCTGGCCTATCTCCACCGATAGAGAATACGCCTCGGTCCAGCTGCCGCAACATTCTCAGGTACGAACAAGCAATGTTGATATCGCTGGATAGGGCTTCGGAGCTAGTACACTAATAAGGACCACCAGAGACGCTTTCGCCCAAAATCGAGCTGAGGCAAAGGAGGAGCCGACCGATAGACCGAAGGAAGCTGTCAAGCCCATGGATGATGGACATACGACAAAGCAGTGAGCTACTCCAAGTCAACGGCTCAACATGCCTTCATAACGGATATTGGCAAATAGCAGCACGAAGCTGTTGGGGTCCTTTGTGGCAATGCCCTTCAAGAACATCCCGAGACCTATCGGCCTGATTATGGTGTGGATGAATAGCGTAAGTTTGTACATTTTCGTATAGAAGGTTTCTTTTGGCGGACCTCATTCCGATCCTAATACACTTCCTCTTCCTAAGAATACCAAATTGCTACCTTTGGCCGATGCTACTCGATAGATCTAGGGTATTCAGAAGAATGCTTGACCATCTATCGCGGCTGAACCAGTGCTGGAACACACGGCAAGATGGCGCCAGGAAATCTGTCTCGGAATTTGAGACACTAAGCATCGATATTTCGGTTCGACGTTGCCTTGGATTAAGGCCGTAGTGGAAGTCACCGCCACCTCGGTTTATCGCCTGGAATATGTCAGATATCATCGCTGATGAACGCAATTCCAAAGCGCAGGAGAAGGATCTTGACCACTCCCTCCCGTGACGGAATGAGACGACATTTCCTGGTGGCGCTGTGCCTGACTAGCGAGGCCTGACTCCCGGGGGCTCTTTATAAGTGCTTATCGCCCTTCCCATGTCTAATGAGCGAATCCTTCTGAATCATCGGGGGCGAGCTTCATCCCTCATCATCACGATCATCGCAGGGGAACGAAGAACGTCTTACTTGAGCCTCTTGAATGGAACTTACCAACAGAACGTCATGCTGGCGGAGCGGGTCCCGATCCAATCCCAGCCGTGCCCCATTTGACCACCCAGCCGGGTTCATCTCCGTGGTCTCCCCGAGATTTGCGAACGATCTAACAAGCTTGACAGGTTTGACAGCGTCTGTATTGCATGTCTCTTTCAGGTTCATTGTCTTTCGGAACTTTGTGTCAGTCCAGACAATGGGGAGGAGGGGCCAGGGAGCCAGGGGCACGGGGAGACATGCCAATGCAGACTTACCTCCCTTGCTCAACAAATACCAGTGAGAGGGGGGTCTCGTACGGATATGTTGTCTCACTCTCTTCTCCAGGCACAGGAAGACAACGATAGTGCATTTGCATTTCGTCGGGGCGGGAATAAGAAAAGGGGAGAGGACGAGAGGGCGGAGGGGAAAAAGCAAAAAACAACAACAATGAGGAACACGTCCTCTGTCCATCTCCCTTGTTTTCTGACGAAGTTTTAGTGACACCAAGGAAAAGCCTCCTGAGACAGGCTGAGTCAGTGACGGGCAAACAAAATACAAGAAAGTCTGGGACAAATTTCGCAACCATGATCTCTTTTGGAGCAAGCAGCAAGACAAGCAAGACGGGATTTGCGACTCTAGTGCTCTATTTCTGGTATTTGGCTCGTATAAAGCAAAAGGGAAAGACGCATGGAGGTCGAAGATGTTGCTTGGTTCTGCGACTTTTGTCATTACACAGGAGACACACACCCAAACTCAACTCCATATCCACACACTTCCACTCGTGATATTTGGTGGGGGATCAACGGTCGAAATCGACAATCAGTCACCATCAAATCAGCTTTCTTGACTTCAAGTCTACTATAACGAGAGTCATTGTTGAATCCATCTATCGCTTTTTACCTTGAGCAGAAATTTGAGGCCATTCCACTCAGACCATGTCATTCGTAAGAGAAAGTAGCAAACACACGAGACTTTACGAGACGATATCTGGTTGCCGAGGGCCTGCTCTTCTACGACCGCGGCCGCCCTGACGCACTCATTTTATCAATCTACTTTGAATCACTATACGAGAGGAGACCGAATCCTCCAGACCGGGCCAACCCTTCACAAAAAAACGAAAGCTCACTTTTCCATTGCCGGAAGGAAGCTGGAAGACACGATTCCACTTGGCGCATACGGGCGCTTTTAATCGACTTGACCATTTGGGATTTGGAGTCCCTCCTTTCCGGAAAGTCGCAAGCACAAGAGGCGAGGAGACCTCTCGCACGTCCACCAGGTTCATCAACGCACCACGCGACGAAATAGTTACACGAAATACGTGTAAAGGCCGTACGTTTGACGCGGCAAAGGGAAGGACAAGGGGAGAGGAACAGAATGGGTCGAAGCGGGTACGATACCACAGACCTGGGAGGATTCGCAAAGAAGAAGAAGCCGAGGTCTGTCGGCGGTGCTGGTACGAGTGCTGGTGCTGGTGCCCAGGCAAGCCTCGCTATTCAGAACGACGGCGGTGAGTACGGAGCCTCGGCTCAGAGGGCGATGATGCAGCGGCAGATGCAGATGCAGATGGCGCAACAGCAGTCACAGCAGCAGCAGCAACAACGGCAGATGGGAGGATGGAACGGCACGGGTTCGGGGTCTTCAGCTTCCGCGTCGGCTTCGAGTAAGAATCGGGCTGGGGGCGGCGGTGATGGGGCTGCGGCTAAGAAGTAGAGGTACTGTAAACTAAGGATGGATGGCTTCGTTGAGAGGGTTCATAAGACTCGGGATGGCGGCTGCTCGGTAGTATGGTTATGTTCACTTGATCTTCCATATTTTGTGTGGGACGTTCGAAACTGATAAGAATTCCAACCAGTGTGGAGGAGTAGCCAATTGAATTGTTAGACAGGGCTCGGGGCTAGATGTTTGATGAGCCGATAAGTTCGGGTGCGCGGTGTAAGTGAGAGAGAGAACAAAGCGGGATGAATCGACGCGCTGACGAGGTTCAGCAGAAAACCACATAAGTTGACATCAGCTTTGGGCCTTGAGGGCGATGGCTGTGGCGCCTCCCCTTAGCCTCTCAGATGGACGACAAAGAGTGTTTACGCCGTCCGTCGGCCATCAACACGCAGTCTACGGCTGACTAAAGGACAAGAGGCGAGATACCAGCCCGATGTCATTGAGGAGGTGGATAGGGAAGCTTCGTTGGTTGGAGCATTGGCAGGCCCTACGGGAACCGGACTGCGTCGCATCTATAGATGGGGCACAAGGACTCCAGGTATCGCAGTGCGTGATCTATGGAACATCTGTTTTGGCGACTGGAGCGTATGGTTGAGAGATACTGCAAGGTGAAGAGTGGTGATGTAGGAGGTATGTGCCCAAAAATCAGATGAGTGGTAGTAAAGTTTGAAGTTCTGTTCTATGTCCTATTTTGTGACACACATCGGTACATGCATCCTTTTGTACTGACAAAGGTAATACGAAACGCTAAATTGAGGAAAAGGGGTATCGATCCAGAGAAGGGAAGAAAGTAGCAAAACGTTGAAACAAGGCGTATCATCATAGAAACCTGGCCCATCGTCATTCGATCATGGCCCAAGACGTAATCCGAACCGGGACATCCTTTAGCTATACTGAGGCGGGTGCTGAGTCGGCGCCGTCTGAGAAGGCGGCTGCGGCATGTAATACTCGGCCGCCGCGCCGGTGGGAGCCGGAGCAGCACCGGCCGCCGGGGGCGGAGCAGGTGACGGAGACCGGTAATGGGGTGCGTAGCCCATGGGCTCATACTTGCTGTCCGCGTTGTTGTTATTGTCGTGGGTGCCGGCTCCGGCTCCGGCATACCAAGAGTCTCGGTTTCCGGTGTCATCGGACCTCCTGCCTTCTTCAATCTTGGCGTATGTGCCGCCAGCGGAGCGCTTGGTTTCGTCGCCGTCGCCGCCACTTCCTCCGGACTTTTCCCTGCGCCGGGAGATGAATTTTCGGTAGAGAGTAAAGGGGATCCAGAGGCCCGTGGAGACGAGGAGGGCGCGGCCGAGGACGTGGCCGATGCGGAATTTCTTTCCTTCCTTTTTGCGCTTGTGTTCTGTTCTCCGGTGTAAGTCATGCTGTTCTCGAATACTCCTGCAATAAGACAAGCCTTACCTTTGACCGTGTAAAACGCGAGCGAGACCAGGAACAGAACAAACCACACAACCAGGACGATGATGAGGATCCGGGCCCAGAGGGGAAGCGCGCTGAAGCCGCCGCCTCCTCCACCTCCCCCGCCTCCGCCGGCGGCACCGACGCGGCCGCCGCCTTTGTACTTGTTCTTTCCGCTCTTTGATTTGGATGATTTTGAGGATTTGCTGCCGCCGCTGGAACCGCGGCTGCCGCTGGAGCCACCGCCTTTGGGGACGCGGGACTCGAGGATGAAGTCCATGTGTGCTTGGGTCGGATTGGGTTTGTTGGTAGGTGTGTTGCTGTTACTGTTGTGAGCTGGCGGCGGCGCTTAGATCGATTGGTTCTCGACCCTCGCTGGAGGATATCTGATTGGTTGTGGGAGACTCTGTTACACAAGACACTCGAACTGAGGGGAAGATGTGATAGAGGAAATGTTCGATGAAGCAAAGTAAGAATGGATCTAAGGCTGAAGACAGTGTGTGAGAGAGAGAGAGAGCAGCGGGCTGCCAAGTCTTTAAGTATCAAAGACACCGCAAGCGGCGCCCGCCCGTCTTACATGCGTCGACCGGCGGCCGGCGGTTTAGTCCCACCACCACCACGCACCCAGGCCTCCGAACATTGGCCTTTGATCTGAGCCCTGCTAGTTACACCGTCACACACCGTACAGATACAGATGGTCTGGGGGTGAGGCGGGGGTTGAACTTGTTGGTTGGGCAGCCCCCTCTCTCGTCATTTCTGTCCCGCAATCTTTTTGACCTCTTTTGAGAGGCTGCGCAGCTGCGCATAGTCATCAAACCCCGAAACTAGGAAGTTGTAAGCAAGGAAAACAAGCTTGACCTGCCCAGCAGAAAGACACTTGGAGGATGCCATGAATTGGCCCAGCAGACGGCGACGATCACGCCTCCGCCACTCTGGCAAGGTCTGGCTGGCTGGTGAGAAAGAGCGAGGAGACCGAGTTGACAAGGTGTGATTGAGGATTTTCTTAGTCTGGTCTTGGCAAAAGATCAGCCGTAGGTGATGCCATTCGCCAATTTGCGCGCAAAAGGTACAACGATATTTGTAGCGTGGTATAATCTCACCATGACAGCCCGCTAGGGGCTCTTCCTTGGCGCCGTCCTAGCTCGTGGTAATAGGCTGTAGCCTGTAGGTACGAGATGCTCCATAGGAGAGAGGAAAAGTCGAAGAAGTCGCGACTTGATAGTTCCTCTTTCGGCATCGCGGTAACCACAGTATCGGGCGGTGTTCTCAAAGCTGCCAGGGGGCATGCATGGTGTATACTTGTAAGCGCTGTTGGAGGGATGACCCCTTCTGAACCTGGAGACCTGGCGTAGCTTTCAATCAGCCTTACGGAGCGGCCATGTGCGGTCCTCCCTCCCCCTTCTGTTCTGGAGAACTGGAGCACCATGGAGGCAGGCGGAGGGCTGTGACTCGTGAGAGGCTCGTGAGAGGAGGGACCAATGCTTCCCTCAGGGCTTATCGCACCTTTGGTGTAGGGGCATAATCCCAGTGGAGTGGACCAAGGTACTCCGTAAGGTCGTGCCAGACTCCCATGCTCCCTGGAAGCTTATTTCTCCATGTGCTCGACTTGACTCCACTCTCATACTAGTGTATCCGTAGTCAGCGCCAATGCTCTCGCTCTTCCAGGAAACAATTTACGAACATGTTCCCACCCTCTAGGCATCTAGAATATAATCCTTGACAATGATGGCATCTACCGTAGTACAATCTCACAGGCCTCTTGGAACTTTGGAGTATCCGTAGAGAGAAGGACAGCGAGAGACGATCGAACTCGTAAGGAGACGAGAGGGCGGTCGCGACGTCATGTGAGTAACACTGATTGCAGATCGTCGCCCGGCACACGTTGAACTTTTGGAACTCAATTGGTCCAGACTTTAGGGGATCTTTCCTCCTCTTAAGTTCCTCCTCTGCTCCTCATCTGCGGCACAGCACCGATCGCCTGCTGCTGTACACAATATGCCGTCATGTCTGCATAGCACTACCAATCCGCAAAGACGGTGATGGTTTGGCGTGGTTGGTTAATACTCTGCATTCTCTTGTCATCGAAGCCTTGGCAACTTGGCAGGGTCGATTCTTCATTGGTGTCTCAAGGAATCCTCGCAGACGTACTGCACGCTTCGGTCAGAGACGAAGATAAAACAAGCTTTATCGTCGAGGAACAGAGAGAGAGAGCTCTCTGCTTCGATTACGTAGGAAGGGTTTGCTATGACGGAATTCTCCTCATTCTCCTGTTGGCCAACTCTGAATTTCCATGCAACGGGTCTCCGCGGGCGGCGGTGCAAAGCCCCTTCCGGAGTAAGGTGCCAATGCCGGATCTCGGTGACCTTTCCTCCGGGACTGTCCATACGGACGGAGATGGTGTTTGCCGTTGGGAAGTCAATTTCGACTTCATTCCGGTCTCCAGGAAACGGGGGTCGGGGTGGGCCTGTTCATAACCCAACTTTGAAGACCTCACGTGCTTCGTGCCTTGCTTTAGGTAGGTCGATGCTGCGCCTCTGTGGTGGTGCTTACTTGCTTGCTTGCTTCCAATCTAGAAGCTAGAACCCATGAGGCTCTGTTTGTGTGTTTCTGTTGGTTTCAGTTTTAGCATGGCAAACCACATCTCATTCTTCCAATGTGCAAATCGAAGGAATCTTGCCCCGTACGTGAAGGATCAATGTTTGACGGCACAATTTCTCCCTTTGCTAGATCCGATCTGTCCGATCTTTTGAACATGAGATCTATGTGTAACAAACCCAGCTCCCTGGGCCTGCTGCTCTGTGGTTTAATTTCCTTACGAGGCCCGGAAGTATGATTTCCATTGCTGAATTAGGGTAATAATCTCCTGGTGATTGGCGGCACAGGCAAACAACACACGAAGCATCGATCGGTTCTAGAATCTTATGTTCATCGCCAAATACGATCCACCCGAGATCACGTATCTGACGAAACACGACGCAAGATACCAGATCCAAGATACCACGTAGTTGAGGAAGAGTGTGTGTCCCTGAAAGAAGTCATAGTCTCTCTTTCATCCGGTATCTTCTTACTCAACTAGGGTACCCGAAGCTATGGCCTCGGACCTTCATCACGCTACTCCAGCCGCAAGAAAACCTACCTTAGTCTATCAATGGACGCACCCGAAAACTTTCTTCTTCGTCTTCGACACGGACACTGGCGGGCAGCCAAAAAAGTAAAAAAAAGAAGAGGGACCTGCTTTCAGGATCAGTACATAGTTCAAGGACCAAATACCCACAATCTTCTTCCCGCCAAGATGACGACGAAAAAAGCTGCTTCAGCGCAGCGCAGCTAGGAGCTACTTAGTTTGTTCCCCATCAAACCATCATCACGACCACCCTGTACTAGCGCCGCCGCTAGGCCGGTTCGCTAAACCTCATTGTTCAAAGCTGGGCGCCACTTTTGTTCCCGTTAAGCACGTATCCCGGCACGCAGTAGTTTTGGGGGGTGTTTGTGAGGTGAGTTGATGGTAGTGGCGGCGGCGTGTAGTGAGGTGGTGGTCTATTATATGGTCTACGGGACCCGGCCTCTCGGGTAGATACAGCTCGAGCTGAGAGAGACTGAGAGATAGCAAATTCCCATCTTCTCCCGTGCTCCAGCAAGTTTCCATCGCAAAGGACACCCGCACGGAAGCGAATTCAAAGATGGCGATCCAAACCATCCTCTCGAGCCTTACCACCCTCGCCCTCACCCCGACACAACTCGCAGCACTCCTTTCCCTCCTCTGGCTCCTCTACGCCCTCCAGCTCGGCGTCCGCCGCCTCTACTTCAGCCCCATCTCCCACGTCCCGGGTCCGCGCCTCGCGGCGCTGACGCAGCTGTACGAGTTCTACTACGATATTGTCCTCGGCGGGCAGTACACGTTCAAGATTATCGAGCTGCACCGGCGGTACGGGCCCGTGGTGCGGATTAGTCCGTGGGAGGTGCACGTCGGCGACCCGGAGTTCTTTTCGGAGCTGTATACGGGACCAGGGAGGGTTAGGGAGAAGTGGGGGTTTTATACGCAGCAAGTATGTGATGTTTATGTTTTGTTCTCTTGTTTTGTCTTCCAACTTTGATCTCCCCTTCCTGAGAGGGAGGTTGGGAAGACAGTGGATGTGTTTGCTAATGTGGACTGGTGTAGTTTGGATCCCCTGGTAAGCAATATCATAAAGCCTTGTCTCTCTCTTTTTCATGAAGGCAAATGCCTTGAGCTAACGATACCTGGAGAGAGCGCGCTGGCGACTGTGAACCATGATCACCACAAACTTCGGCGCGCGGCGCTGAACCCTTTCTTCTCGACGCAGACGGTCCGCAAGTTGCAGCCTGTTATCGAGGAACGGGTCGATGCGCTGCTTGACCGTCTTCTGGAATTCAGCGAGAGGTCCAAGGAGCCGTTGGACGTCATGTATCCCTTTTCGGCCTTTACTAATGGTAAAACAAAACCAAACCCTAGCCTCAATGTCTTTGCTGGAAGGATTTGGAGTTTTCAGTTACTGACGGGATGGATCAGATGTCATTAACGAATATAGCTTCGCCAGGAGTGACCACCTAAGTGAGTAGCGCGGTTTGAAAGGTTGGCATACATCAGTAGTGGAAGCTAATGAGATTTCCGCAGTCGAGGACGAGACGTTCGGCAAGGTGGTGACGGATAACCTCCTTATGGGTACGCATCTGGGGCCCATGATCAAGCATATGAACTGGGCCCTGACGCTGGTCAACGCATTACCAGAATCATTTTCCGGGCGTTTCGTTCCCGGTAAGTTGTTCTTTGCCTCTACACTATCATGGCTTCTCACTCTCGGCTCATTACTCACATTTCACATCCACAAACAGGCTGGGGCGGCTTCCTCAAGATGAAGAACGACATCAAGGACCAAATCGGCGAGATCAAAGCCACGCAGCACACGGAAAAGTGGCAATTAGACGTCAGCCACCCGACAATCTTCCACGACATGCTCTCCTCTAAGCTCCTGCCGCCCGCCGAGAAGACGGTTTCGCGGCTCGCGCAGGACGGACAGATTTTGGTGCAGGGCGGCACGCTCACGACGTCGTGGACGCTGTCCCTGGCCGTGTTCCACCTCATCAACCGGCCCTCGACGCTGCGCCGGCTGCGCGACGAGCTGTTCTCCGCGATCCCGGACCGCGATGCCGTGGTGCCGCTCGCGGAGCTGGAGAACCTGCCATACCTGCGGGGTGTCGTCAAGGAGGCGCTGCGGCTCGGATTCGGGACGAGTTCGCGGCTGGCGAGGGTGTGCCCCGACGAGACGCTGGTGTATCACGACAAGGACGGCAGTGGCAGGAGCGTGCACCTCCCGCCGGGGACGGTGATTGGGATGAGCACGTACAAGACGCAGACGGATCCGCGCATTTACTATGACCCGTTTGGGTTCCATCCGGAGCGGTGGGTGGAGGACGGCGAGCGGCTGGAGAAGTATTTGACCGTGTTTTGCGGGGGCACGCGGGTGTGTCTCGGGATGGCGCTAGCGCAGGCCGAGTTGTATCTCATGCTCGCGAAGCTATTCCGGCGGTGGGGCGGAGCGGGCGTCGTGGACGGTAGTGGAAAGGAAGGAGAGGACCGGCGAGCGGGTGATGTTGGTGTGCTCAGGATCTTTGAGACGACGGTGAGAGATTGTGAGATGGCTGCGGACTATTTTATTCCAATCCCTTATAAGGTACGTGTTCGACGGATCGCATTGAAGGGTTTTGTGTATGGTGACTGACGAGCCAATCTAGGAATCCAAGGGGATCCGCATGGTGTTTGACAGACAGCACTGACTGACGATCCCAGCGGCGTTCATCGTTAGTGTGCAACGGATAGTCCAGTGCCGGTGTCTTGTTCAATATGTCCGCGATGTGCTGCAATTTGGGCAGAATTGGTGGCTGAGCAAGCTCGGGAAATGCGGATTGCCGTCTTTGCCAGTGTGACATTGTTCCATCGCCGGGCCCTTTAGAGTTGCGATAGTCTGAGAAATTGGCGTCAATTCGGGAAGGACAAGCACAAAGGTCTTGGCCTCGGCTGCCCGTCATCTCCCAGCACTATGGGAAGCATGGACGGTAATGCTGACAGCAGATTTTGTCATCTGATGATGTGAGATGGGATCGAATGGCAGTGCTGCAGCGTCTAATCAAGTGGGTATATAATTGATGATAGTAGAATAGATATTCAGAGATCGGATTGTTTCTCGTACATGCACAGAAGAAGAAATAGGTAGAGAGAAGTTAATAAGTGAGGTCCAAGTTCGCGCCTGTTGCCGATGTGGAGGTCAAAGTGCCTGTTGAAAGCAGCGTCCAATAAAACCACCCCAAATAGCAGCTGACTATGGATACGTACTTGGCCGAGTCCGGGGTGGGGGACAAGTCAACAAATCCCCGGTCCGGCGTGGGTGCCGTCCGATGTTTAGCGCAGCAGCACCTTAAGCCCGTGGGCCGCAAGGTGCAGGAGCACAGGAGCACTGAAGGTCGGGTGGGCCCCACCAAGTCCCAGCCATTGGGGCGGCCAGCGTCAGCCCCTGACCCTGAAACATCGGACTGTGCCGACTGGATCACCACCATGGCCCCAAATTCAGGGGACAAGGGCAGAAAGAGCATGTTTCTGCACCACTCTCCACCACCACGGACAGGTACAGTACTGCAATGCACCGGCCGACGGCAATGACGGGGGAGCTTGGACACCGCGCGCCGCGACTTCCACGCTGTTCCTTTTACTGAGTGGCCCCGTTCCCCTCCAGTGTCCATCCGTTGTATTGTACCTTCATGTTGTGCTGTCACCTGTCGTCCCACCTCGATATTCTTTTTCTTACTTCTGCATACTCTTCTACTTGTCTTCTTCGTTTCCGCTTTTTCATCTTCAACTTCCGAATCCCCTGCCTAATGCAGACTTGGCCTTTCTTTTCTTGCCTTGGCTGATTCTCTTCTTCTCCCCTGTTCGACTCGACTCTCCAACTACCCCACGCTCATTCTCTGCATCACCATACAACGGCTGCCCGTTGACGAACACCGAATATAACGTCCTCCACGATTCGATTTACCTCGCTCTTACACACAAGACAATCAGCGCAGGCTTGCGACAATGGCAGTCGCAGCGACATCATCGTCGCCCTCAACAGCAGTCGACCCCTCCACGCGCAAACGTGTGCTCAGGGTCATTGCCATCTCTCTGCTTCTCGACCTGGTATTATCCCACACCCTCAAGCCGCTCCGGCCCTCTGCCTCCCACCATTTGCCTCCCAGAACTGACGAACGTTGCTCCTCCAGATCTCCTTCACCTTTATCCTCCCGCTCTTCCCCAAGCTACTCGAATTCTACCGCGACCGCGAGGTCGGCCCTGAGATCGCAAATGCAACCGGCCCCGCCACCCTCCTCCAGTCCGTTCTGTCCGGTCTGAACCGTTACAAGGCCGCTTTCGCCCGCCCCATCGACTCCCGCTATGATATCGTTCTCCTCGGCGGCGCCCTCGGCTCCCTCTTCAGTCTGCTCCAGGCCATCGCCTCCCCGCTCATCGGCCACCTCTCGGACCGTCACGGCCGCCGCACCGCTCTGCTGGCCTCCATGTGCGGTAACATCCTTTCTGTGCTCCTCTGGGTCGTCGCCGTTGACTTCCGCACCTTTGTCGCCTCTCGCGTCGTAGGCGGCCTGTCTGAGGGCAACGTCCAGCTCGCTACCGCCATGGCGACGGACATTTCGGACGAGCAGAGCAGAGGCTCCACCATGGCCCTCATCGGTGCCTGCTTCTCCATCGCCTTCACATTTGGTCCCGGTCTGGGCGCCTGGCTGAGCAGCATCAGCACCGTCAAGGAGAACCCCTTCGCCACGGCCGCCGGCTTCAGCTTGTTCCTTATTCTGACCGAGACTGTCTACCTCTACTTCTGCCTCCCCGAAACCCTCCCCTCATTGACGGGCAAGGGCCGCGGCGCGAAGAAGGATGACAAGAGCACGACGAAACCGAAATCGACACCCTTGGTCCGAACGAACTCGCACTTCCTTCTCAACGCCGTCCACTTCGTCTTCCTGCTCTTCTTCTCCGGCATGGAGTCCTCTCTCTCCTTCATGACCTATGAGCTCTTCGCCTTCGGGTCCGCCAAGAACGGCCGCCTCCTCGGTTTCGTTGGTCTCGTCGCCTCAATTCTTCAGGGTGGTGTCACTCGCCGCCTCCCACCTTTGCTCTCTGTGCGCACTGGTGTCGTGGCATGTCTGGCATCTTTTATCCTCCTGGGCCGCATCACAACCACCGGCGGGCTGTACGCCGCAGCGACGTGTCTTGCTGTCACATCCGCAACCGTTGTCTCAGGTCTTAACACGCTGAGCAGCTTCGAGGCTGCCGAGGACGAGCGCGGTGGCAAGCTTGGTATCCTCCGCAGCTGGGGCCAGCTTGGCCGTGGGTTGGGGCCGATTCTCTTTACCAGCGTATACTGGTGGGCTGGCCGCGAAGTTGCGTACACCATGGGTGCCACGGGTATGGCTGTCGTGGCCGCCGCAGTGTTTGCCGGCCTCAAGACGCCGCCCGGGTCATTGAAGAAGAAGGTGTCTGCCGAGAAGAAGGCGGCGTGAGACAGCTTTCATGTGTAGAACAGTGAGATAGAGCCTACTGTGAGGCATTGTATGAACGGTCTCCTTCTTTGTGTTGATATTTGATCTACTGTACATGTATTCGGCACGGGAGCATTTTCAAGGAGTCTGATACAAGGTTCAGTGTAGTATACTCAGGGGGACAAATGTACATGATGTTCTGTTTTATTAAGTATGGTGGCAAGCTCTGGATGTGTTCATCCTCACTGAAGTCTCATAAGTAACGACTTGCATGGGGCCTGGAGGCTTCTTGTAGCTTCAAAATATCACTCTGTCACTCTGCCCGTCTTATACAGCAGCTCACGCACACGGAAGCAAATGAGGGGCATACGAAACATCGGGGTGAGTTGTCCGCCAAAAGAAACGCTGGGTAATTTTTTCTTTGATTCTGCTATTCTATCACATCTCATCACGTCAAGCCAACAGCATCTCACAGCCCGACCCATTCGAGCGACTTCTCCCAAAGCAAAGTCGCCTTTTCAACGTCATACGCGTGCTCGCCGTACCCGGGCCCCCACGGCTCCCCAGCCGGATCCCACGGCCCGATAATCTGACAGTCCTCGAGGTACAGCCCTCCCTTGCCCTCGAGCGCCGCCGCCGTAGCGGCCCACACGGACGTCGAGGCCCCCTGCGGCGCCGTCTTGAAGATCTTGGAGAGGTACGGGTGCTTGGCGAAGCCGCCCTGCTGCTCCTCGGGCATGTGGCGCATCAGCTCCGTGATGACGCCTCCGGGCTGCAGGCTCAGGGCGTGGATGCCCTGGGCGCCGTACCGGCGCTCGATCTCGTTGGCCGTCCAGAGGTTTGCGGTTTTGCTTTGGGCGTAGGTTGCCATGGGGTCGTAGCAGCCGTCAAAGTTGATGTTGGCGAAGTTTGGCTGGCCGAAGCGATGGGCTACGGAGGAGACGATGACCACGCGGGAGGAGGTGTGGGATGGGGAGGTTGTCGCGGCTTTGAGGAGGGCGGGTTGGAGGAGGTTGAAGAGGAGGAAGTGGGCGAGGTGGTTCGTGCCGAACTGCGTCTCGAAGCCGTCCCTTGTGCGGCCTTCGGGCGGGGTCATGACGCCCGCGTTGCAGATGAGGATGTCGAGCTTGTCTGTGCTGGCGAGGAAGGCGGCGGCGCAGGCGCGGACGCTGGCGAAGGATTCGAGGTCGAGTTCGAGCAGGTGGACGCGGGCTGTGTCGTTGACGAGGTCGTCGCCGAGGGCTTTGCGGGCTTTGGAGAGGTTGCGGGCTGTCAGGTAGAGGGTTGCGCCGGCGAGGTAGAGGGCTTTGGCGGTTTCGGTGCCGATGCCGGCGGAGCAGCCTGTGATGAGGGCGGTTTTGGAGGCGAGGCCTGAGGGGACGAGGTTTTCGTCGCGGACGATTTGTTCTGCTGTTGGGCGGGCGTCGCCTGGGCCCTTGGGGTCGGCGTGAATTGCGACGTAGCGGTCTGCCATGATGGTGGGGGTGGTGGTGGTTTGTTCAGGAGAGAGGGAGGAGGTTGTTGATGAAATGGCTCGTGGATTTACTTCCGCAGACGAGTGAGAACTTGAAGTTGTGATGATCCATCTTATCGTAGTCGCGGGAGGCTTTATATGATATTTGTACTGTTACTCTCATCATTGAGAGTTTGCGGCTATGACGTTACAGAAGCCACAGTATATACGGATTTACCGTAGCTAAGGGTTGTCATCGAATCCACATGTGGTGTTTTGTTTTAGTCTTGCTTTGCCCCCGGTCAGCAACTAGCTGACTCGCAGCCATATGTCCGGTCTCGTCCGACATACTAGACCTCACCACGCATCGCCAGACTTGGAAAACATTCGCCGTAAATCTGCAAATTCGTCAAACGAGATGTACAGTGATTGCTTTCGAATCGATTCGCAGGTAACGGGCCCACGAAGAACCCGATCTTTACCTCCTTCCTTAAGTCCGAGAAGATAGCTACATCATTGCCTAGCTCTTCATGGAGAAAAGAGCTGTGATGTGATGATATGCAATGAATGCTTTATTCAAAGTAGAAGAGATCTGGACCTCGAGTATCATTTCCTTTACTTAAATCTAGCTAGAATTAAAAAGACCATTTCCTAACCATCTCCTTTCACTTTGTCTTCGCTGATTGCCCCCAAACCCATCTAACCCCCTCCCCCCAACTTCCTTCACCATCAAAGCAACAATGACCCAATTAATCTGGCTCATCACAGGCTGCTCCTCCGGCCTGGGCCTAGAACTGTCCCGCGAGGTCCTGAAAAGGGGCCACCTCGTAATCGCCTCCTCGCGATCCCCAGAAAAGACGCCCCATCTCGTCGAGGAGATCCAGCAAGCAGGCGGCAAATGGATCACCCTCGACGTCACAAAGGATAATGTCCAACAACAGGTAGACATCGCAGCACAGATCCACGGGCGTATCGACGTCCTTGTGAACAATGCCGGCTACGGCATCGCCGGCGGCTTCGAGGACCTCAGGTGAGGAATCCCAGGCCAACAAGTATTCACCAAATCACAACTTGACAAGCGAACAAATCACAGCCTCAGCGACTTCCGAACCCTCTTCGACACAAACCTCTTCGGCATAGTCCGCGCAACCCAAGCCGTCCTCCCGTACATGCGCGCCGCACGCTCGGGTACCGTAATCAACATCTCTTCCACAGGCGGTCTCCGCGGCCTCGCCGCCGTATCCGCCTACTCGTCCTCAAAATTCGCCGTAGAGGGCCTCTCCGAGTCGTTGGCGGCCGAGTACGCCGACTTTGGCATCCGCGTTATGCTCGTCGAACCGGGCCCGTTTCGGACTTTATTCCGGGACCAGCCCGGCTTCTCGCCCGCCGCGGGGCGGATGAGTGCGTTCTATGAGGGCACGGCGGCGGAGGGGGTGTTGAGGTATTTGGAGGGTGGTGGTGGTGGGAAGCAGGCTGGAGATCCGGTGAGGGCTGCGAGGCAGATGTTTGATTTTGTTACGGGGGAGGGGTTAGCGGAGGCAGTGAGGGTGAAGGAGGAGGGGAAGGGAGGGAGGTTTCTGAGGCTTCCGTTGGGAAAGGCTGCTGTCAAGACGGCGCGGCAGAAGGTTGAGGATTTGGAGCGGAATATTGATGCCGTGGCGCATATTGCTAATGCTTGCGATTTCGAGGAGTGAGAGAACGGCAGAAGGTCACTTGAAGTGGAGGTTTAGGCCCAGTCACTCCCGTCAATGGACTGTTTTCCGAGAAGATCAGGATGGTTGAAATGAAATATTCTTGCCTGGGGCGGTGCCACTTTCATACGAAAGAAGCATTGTGTTGGGACGACCAACCTGCTTGGATATGATGGCGCTGCCGCAATGTATTTGATGTCAGCTGATGAAATTCCCCGTCTACCAAGTCCCCGAGCCAGACTTATAGACAGTATATCTGCTGGCGATGGAGCACCTTCAATCTAATCATCCTATGAAAGGCAAAAATCCCATATGAAGAACAGAGCTGTAGATATACTATCTTGAATACCCTTGACTTTCTTGGGCAGGTTGAGAGCGACCAGTCCTCCTTCAAGCCGGCGCCCCCCCTTTACTACCTATCAGAGCCCAATAGAACATCATATAGAGGTGAGCTATTGCCCTTTTCGGCTACGAAAGAGGACCTCAATACTATCCTGGTGCCTTTGATATCTTACTCAGCTCTCGATAGAACCATTATTGGGATATCACGACGAAATCGAAACCTCCCAAACCCCCAATGATTCATCAAGCCATACAGATAATCCATTCTCTGTAAGTTCCACTACCGCTGTGTTTCAGGGCCTTTCAGAAAAAAAGCCTTTGCAGCCTAAGGACATCAACAAACGGAATACACACAAACCCAGAAACTTCACACCGCCCACCACTCTCCCTCTCCCATTCTTAACGCGCCTTCCCGTCATCTGAAATCCAACAAACAGAGCCAAAGACCAGATGGCCGAATGGTTACAAACACGCCGTCGTGGAGCAATAGTAGCTTATTGGCCTCCTATCTTCGCCGAGGGAGTCTCAGCCAAAGGTTGCGGGTGCAAGTCCCGCCGTCGGTACACCTTTTTATTTTTTGTTAGGTTAATCACATTTTCTGAGACCATTTTCCTGACCTCACTTTCTATATTTACAATTAGTATTCTGTTCAGTAGGTGTTCACGAGCCATGAATCCTGCCGATTCTATCCAGTCAACAGGCCTCATTCGCAGCTACATAGCCCCCCCCCCCCTCCACTGATTATTCGAGAATATATATCTGATTACACCACCTTTCGAGGGCGAGTACAAAAGAGTTTACTTTCTACCCTCATATACCTGCTCATCAAGACCAGAGGTATGATGGGTTTCAGCAGCTCGCTACAACTGACCATTAATGAATCTTCGATTGGAGATCTTATGCCTTATCAAGAGATCCGCAAACTCATGGGCCCCTTCTCTTAGCATGAGCCTAGCTTTCATCACTACAGCCAAATCGCTTACTTCTCTTGTAGGCAGATACGTTCTCCTTATTATAGCATTCCAGATGCTCCGCTCACATCTTGTCCTATTGCGCAATCTAGCAACGTGTGCGGAGGCCAGCTTCCGTCTTCAACTGCAGTTCGACAGAAACATCATCTTTCGCCTCCCATCGAATAAGATATCAGTAGTCCACACCTAAAGAGTCGGCATTCTCAACAAGCCCTCGTGTGATTGTAGGTTTCTACACGAGCAATGCGAATGCCGTCTCTACCAAGAAATGAGCCCAGCCTCGACCGCCCCTTTCCCACTTTATCCCATTCCCTATTTCATGACTCTTAGGAGAAGAGGGAGCTTGCTCCAGCGCGTCCAAACCAAGGCCCTACAAGTAAGTAGTCTCGACAGAGGCTTCGATATTAATTTCAAGTTTAGATCGAAACCAGCATCGTAGAGTCCGAAGACCGCCATCCAAGCTAGAGATAACATAACCAGAGACAATATTAAGCAGACCACAAACATATCTGTGAGATGTTGGCTGCAGGAAGTAGACGTACAACGTTCCTGGGGAAGGGGGCTACAGGATTCTGACCCAAGTGGCAGCTTGATATTGACTCCCGATACAGATATTGTCGGATTGGAAGTCCAATTCGACCTCGGCGTACGGCCGACCGCGCAGGGGCCAATTACGGCCCCTACTTCCGATTATCGCGGCCTGCCCAACCTACGGTTGGAACCTCCCTTTAACACACCTACGCAGAAAATCATATAGTTCAATTGATCTCTTCGTCAACCCACGGTTCGAACCAAATACCCTGTGATAGGGATACCAACAGATATACAAGGATCTACATCTGGAATCCAGGATCTGGGCTCAGTTCAAAACAATGTCTAACGGCCTACTCATCGATGTTCAAGTGAACATTTGCAAACTACTACAGCTTCACGTCTTGCTCGAAGCAGCTCGTCCTTGAGTAGACAGACTAGCCATCGTAGAGCGGCCTTGGTAAGAACTTCGCGCCCGGAGTCTCATGGAGGTCTTCCAAGCTTGCCACGCCGCCATTGAGTGACAATAATCGGAAGCTGCTGCGAGTGAACAGAGTTGAACATGTGTCTTCGAGGGAAGGAAGAATAGTAGTCTCAGAGAGCACAACGACTTGTTCGTGCCCAGTCCAAAAACTCCCAAACTGAGGACTGCTTCAATCGTTGAGCTCTTGGAATCCAAACCACTTTGTCCGCTGACCAAATAACTGATTGCCCTTCAAGTTGCCGAGTGCCATATGAGCACCGACTCCCATCCTGGCCTACTGTATATGTGCCATGCACGGAGCACACATAAAAGCCATTAGAGATAAGTTGACGTGTGGCTAGTGCTCGAAGAAAGTTGGACGCGGGGAAAATAACGACAAAACAAAAAAAAAAGTCCTTCTCAATCAGAAGAAAGAAAGCATGTCAACAGCCGGGTTCATCCGAAGTTCGACGCAAAGAAGTCCGTACGTACATCTACCGGGGCCACTGAATTGGCTTGACGCGCACCCCACCTTTTGAGTTTCCACACTCCAAAGGAAGACGACTTGGAAAAGGCTCAAGAAGGTTGAGCCGAGATGGCATATGCCCCCCCCTCCCTTCCTTTCGTCCCTGATCGGGGCCTGATGCCAAAGGTAGTGTACGTGGGGAACACGCTCTTCCCATGAACCGTGTGTCCGAATCTGCAAGCGCTGGATTGGATGCCATGTGCCCATGTCTGGCCAGCTCTGACTGGCTTCCCAGGTGTGATGTCGAAGGACCAAATGCAAGAACCTGCATGTCGGTGCATGCGTGGTTTGCAACCTCTCCCTACGTGACCCTCCTCTCACCTGCACCACCTGCTGCTGGTGCTGCCATCACGAACGCGGCTGGCCCGATGGCGACCGCAGCTTTGAGCCTGGCAGTATTTATGGCTGGAGGCCCCATGATTTGGGACGAGCGACGTCCCCCTTCTCGGTTGCTCCAGGGCGAGCAAGAGTTCTTCGAGTTTGATATCTGTGATTCAATGCAAGGTTCCGATTTTCTCCCGGCAACGCATTCCGGGCTTTCGGCAGCGCCTTATTGGCCTGCCGAATCGAGTGGCCCCCCGAGATCCGAGCCGGTGGGTGTGATGTCTTTCCGGGAGCTCTCTAGCTTTCTTCCGTATTGCAAAAAGTAATTATCATATCCGCCGTTCACAGGACTGCCAGAGCAGCACCATGGCAGACCGAAATCCAGAGGGGCCAAACCCACTGGCAACGATTGCGTACTGCCATTTCGATCAGCATGTCGTACGAGTCGCAATGACGGACCGCGGCGCTTCCAGAAGATTAGCCCTGGTGCAATTGGTGACATGCAGCCTTAGTGCTTTATTGGAGTGGTCCCCAAGCGGCGAGTCCAAGAGCAGCTAAGCGGGATTACCCCCATGTTTCCCGCTGCCCAGCGCCATTAATTTCGTCAGCAAACTGTGGGAGGCTATACAAGGTAAACCGTTGGAGCGTTGCGTCGGAAGTTGTCCTGAATTCGGCCTGGTGTTGGTCACCGTTTCCTTGTCAGGCCGCTGCTCTTTGCTGTTCGGGATCGAAGCTGAGGGAAAGACAGGCGCTGCCTAAGTTGCTGCTGAAATATTTTGTTGATTTTTGTGCGATGGGATGATGACTTCATGGCTGCTGCAAACACTTTGGTCCCCGATCATCAGCTGTAGAATATTGTGCAGACAGGTAGCTTTGCTATCTTGGACAACTGCTCATGTCAGGTTTTAAACGGCGTGAAGTCGGGGACATGTCCGTAACCTGGTTCCCTGTGACCCCGCGAATCACTTAATTGGACTCGATCTCTGTACAAAAAGGATGTCTGACGCCACCCCATGCGAGAGTTGGGTGTGACAGCGAATTGGCCGCAGAGTACAGATAGCTAGCTGGTCGCCCATAAGAAAGGCTGAACTGTGTTACTAGACGTTGCTGACCTTGGTCGGACGCCATCAGCCAGCGGCACAGTTTCTTTCGGCATTGTCGGGACAATAATTCTTCGAGAAGAAACAACACAGTATGACCACCACAGATCAGCTGGGCCAAGTGCAGTGTGGTAGGCGGGGAAATGGACAGCTGGCAGCCCGTTCATTGTACTGACTGAGTGGTTGCGCTGGACCAAACGTGCACTTGTGGCGTCGGTCACTTGCAAGTGAGGTCCTCGGTTTGATTCATTATACCTGACACGTCAAGATGGTCCTGAGCAGTACGGCGTCTAAGCTGTATCAGCCGGCCCTTTGACACATCAAAATTCAGCTCGGAGAACCTGTCATCAATTCCACAATTCCTCAAGAGAGAATCCAAGGTTTGGCGAGACGGGACGAGTGCGAGGCCCTCGGGCGGCGGGCTGCCATCAGACCATCACAATCCAGATCGTCGGGTTGGGCTGTCGCAGTCGAGACAGAAATCAAACTCTGCGCAGTACCGCCCGTGGGTTTCTCGCCATGGCGATTCCGAACGTCCAATGGACGTGACGGATCGTTCTGTCGTATCTCCCAGTCTCCCCAAAGATCCCTTAGGCCGGTAATGAGGAGTTTCCGGTTGGGAGAAAAATCGTACCAGCCAGAACCAAAAGGGTCCAAATAGGTGAAGAGCCAAGACGCAGGTTGCTTCAATGGAAGGGAGCAGGTTCAGGGATCCTTTGATGGGTCCACTTCCCGAGTCGACAAGAGAACAGAGTTGGAAACTGTTCCATTGAAGTTTCAAGAATCAGCGGCGCGTCTTCCAATCCATCAGGGAGGGCGCCAGCAGCCGACGGATCGCTGAGAGACATCGGCAAGCTGCCATCGATATCGATGCCGACTTTTTGCCGCGCACTGGTGGCCATTCTGCAACCGGTTACGGGTTAGTTGCCCCCATTCGGAGAGCTGAGCCACCAGTACTAGGACAGCCTTGCAGGCTTGCAGCGTGCGACCTGCTGCATAGGTGCGTGATGATGACCTCCTGCAGGCCGCGCGGGTTGCAGGTATGACGGCACGGCAGCCGTATGCTGCATCTTTGGCAACTGCGGCGGAGTGGTAGTTGAAGGTTGTGGTTGGTACACAATCACCCTCACTTCATAGCGTTTCCACGTTTTGCGCAACTCTCGTCAATTCCATCAAAAAAAGGTTGTCCGCCTGCTCGGAACGTTGGACCGACTCAAGTTGCATCATGATCAAGACCGTTTCGACATTGGGCCTCAGAGCAACCGAGCGGAAGCCAAAGAAGAACAGACTCGGCGGACATTACTATCTCGTGTCGGCCACGATGGTCTGATCCCATCGCACGGCTTTGGTGATTCGTTGACATTGCGACGGCGCAGCTGACAGTCTGCCAGCGCCTTGAATCGTAAAGCTTGAGGGATCTGGGATCAGGGGAGGACGAGGTGTGGATCACCAGAGATTGAGGGATCTGGCCTTGCGGTATGAAGCTCGGGACGCTGACTGCCTGAGGCGAATGGGGCCGCAGCGCGAACCTCACAACCTGAAGAGAGGAGCAGCCCGGGAGAGTCGTGTTTGATTGCCGCTTCTAGGGCACGCAGGGCTCTCCAGCTTGGGGGCGAGAACTGTCCGTTCGTATCCTTCTAGAACACTGGCGACGCGAAGATCAGAATTATTGTCGAACTGTTGATATCAGTGATCTTCCTGTGGAGCTGGGCCGTGTTTGGTCCGCAAACGCCGACGCTATGAGACTCGAAGGAGTAGCAGCGGTGATCGAACGGAGGCTCTCCCATCAAATCAAAAAGATAGAATATGCCGGTCGTGGTGTTTCCGCATACCGTTACCGACGGAATCCCGCCGTCCGTAAAGTCCTGTGCATGACCTGTGGGGGAAGATGGAAGGAGGTGGGAACGCGGCGGGAGTTCGGTCCATTGTCAGGAAGGTCGTTTGGTCGGATCCAATGGGTCCTCGGTGATGGTGCGTGAGTGTGCATGGCGAGCACTGTGCGGGGTAACAAGCTCGATTTTCTTGTTGCTTAGGAAGCCCTCCATAACCCAAATCATCAATAAGTACTGCGTACTCCGTGAAGCAATGCCGATCACGTTGACAGCGGCCGGCAAGGAAACTTTCAGATTAAGGCAAGCCAAAAGCTGACGGCACCTACAAACTACAGCACGGTAGCATGTCGACGTGTCAGTTTTGGTTGGCCAAAAGGGTTACAAGTCATAGGCGGCGCATCCTTGTCGACACCAGCCCGGCTGTTAAACCGTAGTCTGTTGGTAACAAAGTGGTAGCCTCTCGCTCGTAGTTGTCAGGTTTCGGAGGGGGAGAGGCGAAGCAAGGAGGTTCAAGGACACCCACCTTCAGAGTCAGTACCTGGTTAGCGGGTAGGGCAAGTCGGGCTAGGGCGGCCCCCAGAGGCGAAGAAAGGCAGCTAGGAAAGATGAAGAGCGGCCATCTGAGACGTTAACCGATCAAATCGCATCTCGAGAGAGGCGGGTTGCGGCCTCAGCTGACGTAACTGCTGGCTCCGAAGCTGCGTGTAGCCGCTGGGGCTAGATGCGTCCGAGAGGACAGAAAGTGACCGTAGCACAGAGGGCAATTACCGACACGATGCTTCTTTGTTGAGATTTTGCAAGCGTGGCACGTTCGTATGGGCCTCGAGAATGTCGTTCCATTAATACGGAGTATGGTGAAATAGGGGTTTATCTGCGGGCTCGCGGCAGTGAATGTTCGTTTTCTAGGGACCCGTTCTCCATATGCTAGGGCTCAAGAATTATTGCTGCTAGAGCGCGCGAAAGAGCAGATCTGCGGTCCACTTGGCACCTGGGGTGTAAATTGATGAGAAGGGTCTCGGCCTTGACCATGGGGTTTGCTCTTTGGGATAGACATGGAGGCATGCGGAAGTAGAAGTACGGGACTGGTGGCAATAGCTTGCTTCCTGCGTCGGTGGCTGAAATTGTTGCTCGGCTCGGTCTGCAGAAAGATCAACCTTCCAATGGGCGCCAGCGAGATGCAGCAACACAGACTTGAGTGTCTAGACCGAGGCAGTTGACAAAGAACGGAGAAAGCTGATGCCAACGACAGGGCCTGAGTTACAATTTGCTGTCTCGTAGGCATCGTCTTCTCTGGGAAGGGAACGGTGTTGGATCATGGTGATGCTGAGCTTGACTAATGTTGGTCCGGCGGCGTTGAAGGTCTCGAGGGTGTCTATGCTGAGCACGAGGTTTCCGATGTGAGAGAATCTAGTGTTCTGGTGTGCCTCCCTGCTAGATGGCGTCAATTGGTATGTCCGTACTTTCCTAAGAGATAATCATGAAGTATATATCTATCCGACTCTATTTCCCTCATATTCGCTTGTGAACAGTTTCAAAACAAAGTAGAAGTTGGGGAAAGGCTGGACATGGATGTACTGACGCCTTCTAGCGGTTGATGGGATAAGAGACAGAGGTTTGTGTGTGCCCAGATTCCGCTTGCGCTTGGTTGTTGCTTGCTCTACCTGATAATGTGACCAACTTGTTTGGAACTTCACATGACACGGTAGGACTGAGGTCCGCAACAAAGGGCCGTAGAGGTGTTCACGTAATGTGAGCGCAGCAAGCAGACAAGACGTAGGAAGGAGCGTTGGGCAGCAGATTTGTGTGCCATTGGAACGTTCCTGACGATAAGTCCAATGAGCCAAACGTTCTTTCCCTGATCCTTGAAGTGAGCATCAAAAGAACGGCTTCTCGGAGCTCAGGCTCATCTACCTAGTTCGCAATACCATATCAGTACCTACAGACAGATACATAGACACCTTGATTTTTCCATCTTCAATTCGCACTCTCAGGTCTTTCCGGGTTTGAATGAGGTGAGCTGCGGCGATACGGATAAGGCACGTCCTTACTGTTTGGTAATGGCAATCGCGGAAAGGGCAAGCAAGGTACATGGGTACTAGTTTCTCGTTAGCGTGGGTGGATCAACCAGAGGTTTAAGTGGTTGGCAGGGGTGCTCCCCACGCATTGGTCTGTGTCTGGCCCAGTCGTTATTTCGGGTTTCTTGGAGATTGTCTGCGTGGTGCTTGCTTCGATAGTGACGCTGATGAGTCGGTCCTGGTGCTGTGCAAGATTCTGAGAGGCACAGCAAGCATGTGAGATTTGTGACGCTCGCTCTCCGCGGTTCTCGTCTAGTACCAGGGCTTCGTAAACACCGGATACAAGGACACCTTTCCAGGCCTAGGTCTGGCGACATTTTCTCTGGAATCCTAATGTTGAGAATTCAAGGGGCGGGAGAAGAACGAGGGTGAGGAAAGACGCGACATGGAATGAGAGACGGAACATGGAAATGCTCGGGAAGAAGAACGAACGGCGCGGGCGGGAACCCAAGACACATACAAGTACTGATACCGTGCAGTCGAAACGGCGCTAACGCAACAATGGAGATTTCGACGGGGAACTACGTACCGGGCTACCTTCCTCTGTCTTT